GCTCCGTTGCGTATCTTGAAACACGCCCCCTTTCACGTCCTGGAAAAACACAACACAGATAGCCGCGGCGCGCAGATGAAAGCCAAGTCCCTCGCGTTATCACCTGTGTCGCGGGAAAAAAAGCTCCATTTGAACACCGAGAGAACTACAGCCAACTGTTAGCTAGAGGTAGCTGTGAAGTTTATGTGTGAAATGCTTTAAATTAACAGATTATAAATTTGGCGCGAAGAGTAGCAGTTCAACAGGTACGTTCTGAAGGCGAAAGTTTGCTCCCCCTGACAAGCGTTGTGTTATTTAAAATAAATGTTTAAATAGCATATACTGTAGCTTTGTATTGTATTATATTTTTATGCTATAAGTGGACCACTTATAGCATAAAAATATAACACAATACAAAGCTACAGTATATGCTATTTAAACATTTATTATTATAAATTGCGACATTAATGTGCAGAATATTTTTAACACCAAATATTCTGCACATTAATGTCGCAATTTGTTATGATGTGGGATGTGGTGGTACGAGAAAGCTCAACGCCTTGCAACTGAATGAAAACGCATGTAAATAGAATAAACACCTGCAATTTAAGAAAACATCTTCATCAGTTTCACAACACACATGTGCACCAAATACTCACAACACCACCCAAATACAGAAACGCACTGCAAATAACACAGACCACAATGGACAATTTAACCCTTACGGCTTAAAATTCTACTTTATGTATTTATTTATTTTTGCAAAACGTACAGAGATTACATTTTAATGACATACAACTTGTATACAATATTCAAAATGTATTAACAATATGTTCAATGTCATCAGAGCTGAAAACTTAACTAAATAAAAAAAAAGATAGAGAAGAACATGAAGGAAAGATATTTATCTTTAATCTGTAAAAATTGTTTCATGAAGAAAAGTTTCATAAGAAATATTAGGTAATGTAGGGTCCAAAGTTTTGAAGTTGAGACACACATGCACACATATTTTAGCGCTTCGTCATTTACGCCTATTTGGTTTACCTGGAAACATTTCCGTCGTGGTCTGTGTTTCTGTATTTGGTTGTGTTGTGAACTTTTGCAGTGCATTTCTGTATTTGGAGCACACATGTGTTGTGAAACTGATGACAATTTTTTAATTTGCAGGTGTTTTTTTCTATTTGCAGCACGTTGAGCTTTCTCGGCCACCGTACGGTGGGGTGCTGTGGGCCAGAAAGTCCAGGGCCACTTTTTGGTCCCAGTCCGCCCCTGACCGCCGCCAACTCATCAGCAACAGAGAAAAGGACAATAATCACCAGCTAAGCTCATTTAAGTTCTAAGTCATTTGATCCTCACCTGTTATCTCTGAATGCGATTCATCTGCACAATAAAACTTATAAAACGTACCATCCCATCGGTTTCTTCTGTGAACCCTGACATCAATATCCGTCTCTATTCTGTTATAGTTGAGGTATTATTCATTTCCATATTGCGAATAGTGACTGGGTCTAATAATAATTGAAATGTTTCCAAATCAAATAATTCAGCTGATGGTCATGTTCATATTTAGAGCTTCCTGAAATGTGGCGTGCAAGATGCCTCAATATACAGAAGAAATAACCGCTTAGATTAGAGATTAGATGAGGAGTTTGCCAAAAATGTAAAATTACATGATGTTACAATGTGACGTGAGATCATGATTTATTGTATGATCTACTCTTTTAAAGAGTTGAACGCGTAACCACACAAACTCAGTGAACCCGCAGATAAGCTAATTAAGCTTTTTACTATGGATATGACAACAACAAACGGTGTGTGCATTTAATGTTTAGCTTGTTGGAGTAGTATAATATCTGTCGTTTACTTTCATATGACATTTTTATCTGACATAATAAAGATAAAATAAGCAATGCAGTTGAGAGAGAGGTAGAGCATGGATAAGAATACATATCCAACTTTAAATAGTTCTATATTATCTTTTATTATCTATATTACATTTTTAAATGTTTTTGTAATTATTTTTTTTTACTATTCATACAATTCAACATTCAAAAAATATCTTACATCATTTTTTACCTATCACAAAAGATTAATATTATAAGTCATATTTTTTTTATCTCAATAAAGTTCGCTTAATTGATCTTTATGCAAATCCTTGCTTGAGAAAAGTAATACTGTATGTACAGTTTTTTGCACCAGTCATGTTTTTAAACACACGAGTTTATATTTTCACAGTAATCATAATACAATGCAGTGTGATGTTTATATGATTCCAATAAAAGTTACAACTTTTTCATAATGTCTCTTATGAGTTTTTTTCTTTTCCTTTTTTTCTCTCTCAAATGAACAGCTAAATATGATATTTAGGATAGGATATATATATATGCATTAAGATCTCATTAAAATTTTCCAAACTTAAGATAATAGTATTTTCATGGTGGACACAAATTCAGGCTAAGTTACTTTTTTATTTTGTTTACATGTTTTATTAATGTATAAATATGTATTAGGTATTTACTGTAAAAAGATTTGAAGTCTTATGTCTCTTGACGTCACAATAGCAAATCAATTCAGTCTAATTCATGGAGTTATTAAATGATAATTGCATTAACAATTCTGTCCACAGATAAAATACTTTTAAATACTAAAACCTATCTATTATTTCCTGGATCAGTATTAAAAATGCATTTTTGTGATGTGGCAGATTGTCCAAAGTACTGTTGGTCCAAAGTAAAGTATGGTTTATGTGTGGGTGAATGTATCTCATCCTCACCTTTGACTGCACATTATTGCATATGTATATGTAATGGTATGGGAGGAGAATTCTGGTCAGTTATACTGTTAAAAATATTGAACATGGATGTTAATCATTAAACATCATTTAAGCATGCTTAGACCTTGTTGGCCCGTATGGTTTCATTAAAATTATGTTATTGTGTAGTTGTTAGCTTCTTCTGGAGCAGGCTCTACGGGTTCTCAGATTCAATTTTTAAGCACATATGTAAACGAGATTTTGCCGACAAAAGAAACACAGACAGGTTTCACACTCATACACAAACTAAATCCATTAACACGATTTTTCAAATCAGAAATTATTTCATTATGCTTTCATGTTTAATGCATTTGATTGTTTTGTCCTTTCGCGATACACATAGGTGAAGCTGACTCTTTTGTTTGCGTGTGTGCGTCCTGCTCATGAAATTCGTTTTGCAATAGTATTGATATTTGGAAAAAATCACTCTGTGTGTGACATTTATATCATATGATATAAATGTAAAGGACAAAATCTCATACAGGGACATGGCTATTCGATCATGGATATCGCATATCATTTAACATAACAACAATATTGTCATAGACGAGTATCGCTCGGCCCTCTTTTGAGCACCCTCATTATTTTCAAAAGCACCCTCAGTGATTTGGTTCTAGAACCGGGCCTGTTCTGGAGACACAAGCAATGCTGAACTACGGCTTCTGAACCGTAATGCACACCTTTTGTCAATAGAGGGCATACTCTTATAGTGACAACCGGCATAAAGAATAAAGGCCTGTTCACAACCAAGAACATAATTCTCCAAGGATATAATTAAAAAAAAAAAAATCAAAATATAAAAGAATAGCAGAGTCCACACCACAATTATAACCATAGGCTGCTCACTGCCAGTGGGTGGAGCTTGACGTCCAGCCCCCCCTCACAGGATGTAGTGGGAGGAGCAACATGTCAAATTATATCAAAATTTCCATCTTGATGAGTATCCACGTGACGTACACACAGTTGTTTACGTGAAAATGTAAACATTTAATATTGTGTCAATAACAGAACCATATTTATTCTTATTTTATTATTGAATTTACTTGTCTTTAATATTTGAACTTTGTGTTAGTTCGAATTTGTTTTTGCTGTGACTGACTGTAAATTGGAATTGAGAAGAAATGTCTAAAATGTTAGTATGGTAAGGTTGTAGGTCAAAAACAATGAAAACAATAACTTTATTTATATATTTAGACGGGGACAGTGACTGTCAGATCAACTATCAGGTCAATAATACCAATTTGGTACCAATTTAAAGGAGTAGTTCACTTTAAAAAAAAAGTTTTGCTGATAATTTACTCACCCCCATGTCATCCAAGATGTCCACGTCTTTCTTTCTTCAGTCGAAAAGAAATTAAGGTTTTTGATTAAAACATTCCAGGATTTTCTCCATATAATGGACTTCAATGGGAACCAAACAGTTCAAGGTCCAAAAGACAGTTTCAGTGCAAACTGTTCAAAGGGCTTTAAACGATTCCAGACGATGAATAAGGGTCTGATCAAGCGAAACGATCACTCATTTAATACAAAAATAACAAAGTTTTATAAGCTCAAATGCTCGCCTTGCTCTGTTCTGTGATGCACGTTCGTGACTCTCCTGTTAAAACTCGTTTATCAAAATGAACAAATCTTTTTCGAGTCATGACTCGAAGGGTCCTTGATAAGACCCTTATTCATCGTCTGGTGTCGTTTAAAGCCCTTTGAACAGTTTGCACTGAAACTGTCTTTTGGACCTTGAACCCTTTGGTTCCCATTGAAGTCCATTATATGGAGAAAATCCTGGAATGTTTTCATCAAAAACCTTCATTTCTTTTCCACTGAAGAAAGAAAGACATGGACATCTTGGATGACATGGGGGTGAGTAAACTATCAGCAAAATGTTTTTTTTTTTTAAAGTGAACTATTCCTTTCAGCACCGATATGCACTTTTCACTAATTAGATATAGTAATGTATAGCTGCATAGAAAAGAATAGAATATAATAGAAATCGTCAAAGTTTTAATGATGCAGAGAGAAAATACAGAATACGTTTTTTTTGTTTGCAATTTTACAGTATAGGACACATTGTGTTTTATTTCCAGGTTACATCACCGATACCTGCGCTGAGTGCGGTGAGGTGAGCTGAAGGACCACCCGCTCTGGACTTTAGAGCAGTGACACGCGCGGGCTCTCCGCTGCAGGTGTATATAACCCACCTGTGCGCCTCCTGGGAGATCCTGGACTTACATCCACCACACACTCACACGACAGGTAGGAACATCGGTCTAAAATCATTTCACTTGGTGTTAACTGAGCATTTTAACAGACCGAAGGATATTTGTATGCTTGTGTGTGTTTTATGGCTCTTGAGCTGCTGTGACCTGTTTCTGGGCCAGTGTGTGATCTGGCTGAATCAGAGCATGTGCTCACTTAACGCGTTCTCATCCCAAAGCGCCATAAGACGCTTTTGCAAAAGCGTAAATATCCAACGCACATGGCATCCTAACGTGAAATGAGACGCAGATATATTTGGGCAGAAGGCGCCCCCTAGTGGTCTGACCCTTACCCTACACCATACCTAAACTTAACCATTAACCGAAGCGTCTCATTAGACGTTAAAGGGTGCCATGTGCGTTGGATATTTACGCTTTTGCAAAAGCGTCCTATATGGCGCTTTGGGATGTGAGTGTCGGGGAGTGAATGAACGCTTGCTTAATAGTGTGGGGGAAAGCACAGAATATTGACGTATGAATGATCTGCTGACAGACGATCATTGCTCAGTATAAGCAAAAAGAGATATTACCACATCCACCACAATCCCAGCATCGATCATGAAGACTAGATCACTGCTGTTTATCTGAGAAAGAATTAATGAATTTTACTTGTTTATATATAGCCTACTTATTACTTGTTTATGGTTTGTAATTACTACTTTCTAAATAGAAAGTAACTTTTTTTAATTTTAATTTCCTACTTGTTTTCATCACCACTAACTTAATTACAAGAAAGACTTCATTTTTTACTATTATATTTACATATTTACTTGAAGCTGTGTGTTTTTTTTTCTTGTTTATTGTTTTCATCACTGCTTTATAAAAAAAGAAAGACTTAGGCCTAATTTGTACTTTTACTTGAAGCTGTTTATTGTTTTTTAATCACTGCTTTATAAATCAGAAAGAAAGGCTTTTTTACTCTTACTTTGAACGTTTACATTTTAAGAAAGATAGAAAAAAGAAACTTTGGTTTTTACCTTTATTTACATATTTACTTTAAGCTTTTATTGTTATCAATTGCTCCCTTTAATTAAGTAGTGCGCACTAAGAAAGAAAGAAAGAAAGAAAGAAAGAAAGTTAGAAAGAAAGAAAGAAAGAAAGAAAGAAAGAAAGTTAGTTAGTTAGTTAGTTACTTACTTACTTAGTTAATTACTTAGTTACTTAGTTACTTAGTAAGTTTGAGCTAACTGGTAATGTGTGTTGTATCTGTGTTGTAACTTAAGGCAATGGCACCGACAGCTGCGGCTCATCTCGCCCCGCCACCGGAACTCGGTACGTGTCCCCTATAAATCCACTTCCACTTCCACACCGGGGCGCACTTCCTTCCCCCCTTTTCCCTTTCTTCCTCTCATGCGGTCGGCATGTCTTTACTCTCACAGACGGAGACCACCCGGTCAAAGATGCGACCGAACCCGAACCTCCGCCCTACACGGCGGCAGAAGAGTCCGAGCCGGAGGAGGACCCGTGGGATCTTCCCGAGCTCCGGGACACCGGGGAGAAGTGGTCCGGTAAGAGCAGAGCCGAGCGCGCACGAGCAGCCGGACTGACCTGAACCCAGCGCGCGCCTCCTCACACTCTTTGTGTGTGTGTGTGTGTGTGTGTGTGTCCTTCTCCCGCAGATCTCGACACGAAAGGGAAAGTTCTGCGCGTTCTCAAGTCCATCGTGAAGTTCGTTCTCCTGGTGGGTTTGCTCTATGTGTTCGTCTGCTCGCTGGACATCCTCAGCTCCGCTTTCCAGCTGGTCGGAGGTAACGGCAAACTTTTTTTTCTTTGAACTTTACAACTTTTGTTTTTCTTTTAAAATAAGTTAGAGGGAGAGAGAAATTGTGCTAAACTATATTGTATAAACTGAACAGGTCTTTTGACAAAGTGAGAGACTTTTGAAACGTGCCAAAAAAAAAAAAAACTCGCCGGGAATGTGCTGCAACATGAGGCATTGACCAAACCTGTGTGTGTGTGTGTGTGTGTGTAAATAACAATGAAGAAAAAAAAAGAAAAAAAAAAGATCTGTTACTGGAATATATATTTTCCTGGAATAGATAAATGTTTGTTTATTTTCTGTAACACATATAGCTCATTCTCTATATGTTTTGCCATTTGATTCTGAAACGCATGGCATGTAAACACTGCCTGTATTGTGCGCTGCGCTACGCTGGCATTTAAAGCCCCCCTGTAGTCAACTTTATCTATTAAAACTCATCTCTGATCCCCAAACTGACACGTGTAAATCTGCATGTCTTAAAATAGCTTGAATGTAACTCGACACCCTTGCCTTATTTAGGATACGCGGAGTATAAATATGTAAATTATCCCCGCCTCCACTCACATTTACACATGGTTCGTCTTTAAAGCACATTAAAAACACCACATAGACATATTACAAGCTTGATTTTCACCACTTTCATCAAGTATTGCTGTATAAATTAATAATAACTCTTTAGAGTACTTGATATTTTCTCACTTTATGCTGAAAAGTCATTCTATAAAACATTTAAAAGCTGCTTTTTAATATTAGTTCAATGAAAACAATAGTTGTTGAGGGTAAACATTATTTCAGCTTTCTTATATAAATAGCCTTGTCTAAACAATTTTTAGCTTTGTTGTTGTTGAGCATTTTAGAGTGTTTTTTTTTTCATCTAAATACTCTTAGGACAGTCTGCGGCTCTTTCCATGACTTTTTTCACTTTTAATACTTTTTTCCTACTATGCTCTGTAACTCTTCTTTGTTTTTTTCCCCTCTAGAACTATGTTTGCCTTATTTATTAACTTAAGAAGTCTTCTATGATTTACTAAACTATAAAAGTACTCTTCAATCACTGAAACACAAGCGACTGTTCTATAGGATAATAAGTGTTGGGTATAATGCATTGAAGTAATAACTGTAATTGAATCACTTTCCCTTTACTCTTAATTTCTCTTAATTTTACTTCTTTTATTCATCAGAATTACTTCTGACTGCATTAAATACTGTTTTGACTATAGAACAATTCTATAAAACAAGTGGATTTAACATCACAATATAACATCTAATGTTAAAACTATGTTTTTAATGTCCATTAAATACTTTGGTCAGTTCAAGAATAATTGATGAAATTTAAATGATTTATTTGGAAAGAATTAAGAGCAGTTTCACGTCTACCCTTGTGTTGTTCAGCTGCTCGAGGTTGATATGGGATTTAAATAGTAATAATACAAGTAATGCATTATTTTTTAGAGAGAAATCAATAATCAAATTCCACTGTTTAAGATGTGATTAGTTACTACATGGGTGACACTTTAGACTACTGTTGCTTCATTAATGAATAACTACTCAGGAACAAATGAGTAACACAATATTATTAACTCTGACTTCTTATAACAAGTAACTCTGATTAATGAATTAGTGAGTAGTAGTCTAATGTGGTAGTTCACTATTAGCTAATCAATAAGGATTTTTCATACCTCACAGAAGACTAAGAACTACTGTTCATAATTAACAATGCATAATGTATAATATAAGGTGGTATTAGTATAATACCATATAATATAAATATATATAATGATATTATAATATAATGTTAACCCATTAGTAATGACTCAAGTGTTCCTACATCTTTCTAAAGGAACTACTGTTTATTTGGATCAGGATCTAAAGTGGAGATCATGGGAACACACGAGTGAGGACGAAAGTGTCACCAAATCTGACAAAAACCTCAAAAGCTTGCAATGACTGTTAGCCAGGTAGTTATGTTTTCCCTTTAGATACTGATCCAATTATAGTAACACTGTGTGTTACAGTTACCGTTTATTATAAATTACACATCATGTTAATTCTGAACCTGTACTGGGAGGTATGAAAAAAAAAGATGATCTACATGTGAACGACCACATTCAACTTACTAATTTATTAATCAGAGTTTCTTGTTAGTTGATAGTAGGTACTTGAATGTTAAAAGTGTGTTTCTATGTAGTTATTCATTAATGAAGGAACATCACTGTTTGTAAAGGGGCTTACCGGTTTGAGCACTTGCCCAACTCCGGATATTAATCATATTTTACTCTGTTGAAACTATACAAGGGGGGAAAGGTGTTAAAGTGTTTGGTTTTCATAGGTTGAAGGTGAACATGTACTTCAAACAAACGGCCCTTTATCAAAGCGCACGTCAGTTTAACATGGTTAATGTGTAGAAGAGGTGTGTTATCTGTGAACACACACACAGATGTGTTATGGTTCTGTCACTGTGTGCAGGGAAGGCAGCGGGCGATATCTTCCAGGAAAACGCGGTGCTGTCGAACCCGGTGGCCGGGCTGGTGATCGGGGTTCTGGTCACTGTTCTGGTTCAGAGCTCCAGCACCTCGTCCTCCATTGTGGTCAGCATGGTGTCATCTGGATGTGAGTGTGTGTTTCTGACTCTGATATCTGATCCATGATAAGCACCTCCATGTAAAAACAGTAACACAGATTGTTTCAAAGTAAAAAGAAATGGATATCCACACTGTAAAGTGTGCAGCCGTTGCCTTAAACGATTAGTTCACTTTTAAAAAAACATTTGCTGATGATGTACTCACCCCCACCACCATGTCTTTCTTTCTTCAGTCGAAGAGAAATTAAATTTGATTAATCTTTTTTCGGGTCATTTCGTTCGTTGACTCGAAAAAAGATTTGTTCATTTTGATGAACGGGCTCGAGTCACGAACGCGCATCACAGAACAGAGCAAGGCGAGCATTTGAGCTTATAAAACTTATACTTTGTTATTTATTTATTTCGTTTCGCTTGATAAGACCCTTATTCATCGTCTAAAGCCCTTTGAACAGTTTGCACTGAAACTCATTTGGATCTTGAACCGTTTGGTTCCCATTGAAGTCCATTATATGGAGAAAATCCTCGAATGTTTTTATCAAAAACCTTAATTTCTTTTCGACTGAAGAAAGAAAGACGTGGACATCTTGGATGACATGGGGGTGAGGAAATTATCAGCAAAAGTTTTTTTTAAAAGTGAACTACTCCTTTAACGCTCTTCCACCTCAAATGACTCTTGAAAATGACATTCATTTGTTCATTGTAACGCATTCATATTGATTCTGTCGTTTTAAGTGTTGCTATTTGAATTGTATTAGCGTATGTCGTGGGTCGGTAAGACATTTTAGGAAATTAATACTTCTATTCAACAATCAAACTTATCAAAAGTGAGAGTGATTATTAATGCCATTCTTTTGACCTATTCTATGCTTTTTAACATTGATCACAATAAGAAATGTTTCTTGATCATGTAATCATCATATTAGAATGATTTCTGAAGGATCATGTGACACTGAACACTGGAGTAATGCTGAAAATTCCATTCAAATTAAAAATAATACAATGGAAGTCATTTTTAACTGTTAGATATTAGTTTTGTTTTCTGTATTTTTGATAAATGCAGTCTTGTTGAGCATTATTTCAGAAACTTCTGAATGGCAGTGTAAATATAATTGTTGACTGTAAATTTCAGTGTTGGAGGTGAAGTCGGCCGTGCCGATCATCATGGGTGCCAATATCGGCACTTCTGTGACAAACACCATCGTGGCCATGATGCAAGCAGGAGACCGCAATGAGTTTCGCAGGTAAACCCACCTGTGGATATAGCTTTGTGTTTGTGTCATGGAAAAAATAAAAGTTCATCAAGTTTTAAAAATCTGATGTCCAGACCTGGAAAAGTCACATAAATAAGCGAAATCTTATTTCTGTAGTGCTTTGCTGTACAATATTTGATCACCTATAAATTGCTGTCATTTTTAAAAGGGTCATGATGACATGAGAAATCAAATTTGCCTTGGTCTTTTTAAATATAACAGGTCTTTATACCAATAAAACGTCCTGCTTAAAATTAAGCTCCCAAAACGGCTCGTTTTGATATTGCGGGATCTGTGACGTCACACTGGAAAATACGTTTGTATATGAAACTTCATCTCATCATCTTTAGTTCGTTGTGTTAAACGTCATCTCCTCATAGGCCCCGCCCACTGGTGTTCAATCTCTTCAGCGCTGACACGTTCCTACACTGGATGCGAGCGTCACGTTGCATCAAAAGCAAACAGAACCCATTATAATCGCAGACGCTGTCTACACTGGATATAGTATAGAGAGCCTAAGTCCCGCCCCTCCGCTTCCGGCTCATGGGTCCTTTTTTCGGAAAAAATATGAATGGTAGTCAATGGCGAGAGACAACTTATGTTTTTATTCCGTCTGAACTGTGCCCTCAATTACACACATGATGTTTGTCAATTTAAAAGATAATTCTGAAAGTCAAAAACGTCGCAGTTTGTCATGAAACAGAAGAGTAACATTTAGTTGTATGTGAAAATCGCTCTATGAACTACATCTCCCAGAAGCGAAACAACGAGTGGGATCCGCTGCTCGTGTGTGTGCAGTCTGGTACAAAACACTCAGGTATAACGGCGTAACGTTACGATTATAACGTAAGACTGTAGAAACAATGACAGACATTAGCCTCAGTAAAGTTAGCTTCATTCATTGAGAGAAAATGTGCGCCTTTGGGGTTTGTAGTCTTTGTAATTCCGTATTTTCACAGTCTTATACCTCAACGGTTTCACATCAAACTGCGACTTTCTTGTCTTTCAGAGGTGGAAAGAGTACTGAAAATTTGTACTCAAGTACAAGTACAAGTAGTTGCTAAAATAATACTCGATTACAAGCAAAAGTACTGGTGTTAAAAATGTACTTAAATAAAAGTACAAAGTACCCCTCTCAAAAACTACTCAAGTACTAATTACTAATTACTTTTAGCCTGTGATATTTATTTACTTTTATGGAAACCAAGTTATAAAAACGGTCTAATATGATTGTTATTATTAATGAATTATAATGCAAAATAAATAAACTTATTGGGTTATTTTATTTATAAACTTCTTTTTTTCTTTTCTTTTTTTTTTTTTTACAATAAGGATTTCCAAAAGTAACCTACTAATATTTCAAAAGTTATCAGCATTTAGCACTGACACAAATGTGCCATCTAGACAGACTGACAATCAGTGCAGTTACACTGTTATGCCAGTGGGTCATGGCCGGCAAGATACTGTTTTTATGAAAGAGTCATTATTAAACTCTTCATTGTAAGCTTAAAACACGGATTCAATATTAATAAAACAATGTGTTGACAATGACATACAATGTAACTTTTTAATCTAAGTTTACAATGCTAAATCTTTATTACGGTATATGTGCTTGTCATCTGAGTAACGCTGAAGCTCATGTTTCAAGTGATGTTTTTAGTCAAATTATCGTGAGGTCTACCCAACTTTAAAAACGAAAACAACTGAACTATCACATATCACTGCAGAAACAAAGTTTCTATAAAACGTCTCCTTTCCTTCCTCTGTATAAGAACAACTCATGGGCATTCGTCATCTGGTATTTCTTCGGAATTTTCAATGAATTCAGTGTCTCGAATGTCCATGTCCATTATGGCAAAGTTCTTTGATAACACTAAAATACAAACTGAAGGACGTGTGAGGACGAATATAGCTCTCCAGGAACCGGGCTTTTTTCCCGCTCCAAATACAAGGATTTTTATTGGCCCGCCCACGATCAGTTATTTCCATTGGATACCCAAATGCTGGTCAAAGATTTGAATAATTGTTGAATTCAAATTGTACAAGTACTTTGCAATTAATGGCATTTTTAAAGTAGTGAAGTACATTACTTAACTTAATTTGTACTCAAGTACAAGAAAAATTACAGACTAAAAAATGTACTCATAAAAGTACAAGTACACGAAAAAACTACTTAATTACAGTAATCTGAGTAGTTGTAATTCGTTACTTCCACCTCTGTTGTCTTTAAAATTTATCTTTTAAATTGACAAACATCGTATGTGTAATTCAGGGCACAATTCAAACGAGATCAAAATATTTGTTGTCTCTCGCCATTCAATATTTTTCCGAAATAAGGTCCCCTGGTGGTCATCCGGAAGGGGAGGGACTTAGGCTCTCTATACAGATGTGTGTTCAGTTTACTCCACGCTTGAGTCTGCCGACAACTGGACAAATGGAAGAGAGTTGAATCGTTCAGTTTAAACGGCTAATTTGCTGATTTCTGTGCAGACTTCAGAAGGATTCCTGCATCGGAACATGTGGATGGTTTAATTTAATGGCGTCCCGGATCTCGTCGGAGGATTATAAGTTTGTTCGGAGCATTTTGTTTTGTGATTGAGTTCGCATGCCAGCTGTATTGAATCTGACAGCCGCTGCATCACAAAACACAAGTACACGATTTCATAATGCTCTGTCTGTATGGATAATGAAATGGATAATGTTTTCAAAACACTTAATCATGTTGAATAGTGATAGATGTTGATACATTTTCTTAGGCGATGATGTTAGCCAACGTCAGACGTTAGCCAGTGGCCGTTTACTGACAAGCCTTATGTCTGGTTCAGATTACACGGTTTTAGCCCGATTTTGGCCCGATCCGTTTGACGTAGGGTGTCGTGGGGATTCGTAAACGACAACGGCCGTCGGGACGTAAGATTCGATCGTTTTATCTCGTATAGTGTGTCATAGTGGGCGACAACCTACGTCGCGTCTGCGACGCTTCATGACATCACGACAAAAAGACTAGCATGTTTAAGTTTTTTAACGGTCGTCCACGACGGTTCCGTCACATGGATAAGGTTGACCAATAGGAGCACAGAAGCTTTTCCGTACACAACTTTCAAAAATGGCGAAATGAAAGAGAGACGATGGTGCTAACGTTAAAACTAAAAGTAAAAATATATATATATATAAAAAAAACAATATTTTACCTCAAGTTCTCTTTGGAGGATTGACAGCCCATACTGTCCTCTTCGAGCAATCCAGGAACGTGTCCATTGTCGGGTTTTCTTTCTTTTTTTGACTTTTTTTGTTTACGTTTCCGTTCATTTCCGGAAGTCACTCGCTAGTTTCACCTTCTCGATGACATCATGTGCGCCGTTAAAGATGGCATACGATGACTGGTCAGGAAACATGTAGTCTGACATGTGTCTTGCCCACGACACGACAAGATTTTCGGAGTCAAAATCGCGTAATCTGACACAGTGACTATCGTAACAGACAAAAAAAATCGTGTAACCTGAACCAGGCATTAAAGGAGCAACGCCTTAAAAACGGATCATTTCAAAGTGAGGGTTAAAAATTGTTTTTCCACACATGTATTTTGTGCAAAAAAATGTATTAAGAGAACCTCAAGGAACGTATTAAAATAATAAAACGAATCATCATGAGCCCTTTAAACATGCCTCTAGATATGATGACGTCTGTTGAGGGTCTTATTGGATTCAGTTGTATAATACACTATTTTTGACTTAAGTAGCAGTGAAATGGCTCTTTTTCAGCCACTTTGAAGTTACTTGCTGAAGGAAATGGAGTTGCACATCTGAGAAATGCGCTTTTACATTCATTCTGTGTGGTTCAGGGCATTTGCTGGTGCTACGGTCCATGACTTCTTTAACTGGCTGTCTGTCCTGGTGCTGTTGCCTCTGGAGTGGGCCTCAGGATTCCTCTACAGGCTCACCAAAGTTGTGATTGACTCCTTTAACATTCAGAGCGGCGCAGACGCTCCGGAACTGTTAAAGGTCATCACTGAACCCCTCACCAAGAACATCATTGAGGTGAGGTCAACATCAGTGCTTATGAAGTAGACCTGTTGCTTTATCTAGTCGCCGTTACTTCATCTGTATCGGGCAGCTGATCATATAAGCATAAACCCTAGTTTTGTCATTGTTATTGTCCCATAAATAAACGCCCAACAAATTGTTAGTAGATGCAACAATTTTGTCAGTTACTTGGTGCATATGGGGACTTCAAGTCGATTGTATTTATGATTTATGGCACATGAAGGCCACCACAATGTAATTGTTACTAATGGGAAAACTAAAAATTGAGCCTTGAGTTTCAAAGTTGGGGATGCGTCAAACAACACGAGCGCAATGGAAACAGCTTCTTTAATAATGGTTAAAGTGTTTAAAAAGACTGTTTTTTGCACGTCCATAATATGATATAACTAACAATTCAGTTTACATCGCCTTCATAAATTCAATAATAACTTGAAGCAAAAACACACCTGATGGACATTTTATTCTTTTTTGGTAGTTAAAAACCTTGCTGTGTTTAGTAGAAACGCTACATCACCATCTTAAGGCCCAGATATATTAGAAATAGAATCGAACTGGTGTGACGTCATTTCGAGAGAAAAAATCAGGCCAAAACAAAGTTTGTTTTTCTTTCTGGAAAAGTTCACTTTGGCTGGTAAATGCTGTCGAACTACCATTGGTCCGTGGTGATGTTGCAAGAGCTGAGTGTGGCTTTGAGGCTCCGCCTTCTTTGACGTGAAATTAATGAATTTGTCTGTTCAGTCCGTCAAGGTCAAACAAGTTATAACATTGACTCCGGGAGAGTCGCTTTGAAAGTAGAAACTGAACTTTCAGTTTGACATCATAATTACGACTTCCCAACTTGTACATACGAACTTCCCAAGAGTACACACCAATATTTCTGTTGCAATACATTGGGTGGTTGAAAATCCGAAGCCTCATAATTGAATATCTAATGACCTGTATGAACTTATCGGTAACACTTTACAATACGGGTGCACTAATAAGCATTAATTCATGCTTAACTAATGCACAGATAATACTGAATTAATGTGCAAGTAATGATTATCTAAGCTATTCATTAATGATTACCACATTAGGAACTAATTAAGAGTCTGTAAGGTTAATGTATTAGTTCATACATGAATTGTTTTTATTAAATACGTAATTGTGGATTAAGTACATAACTCTTTTTTTTACTAATAGTGTTAATTAATATGTTAATTACCAGAATGAGCCAATGTCTTGTATTTCAACTTCCAGATAATATGACAGGTACACTAATATGCATTAATACATGATTAATTACTACATTGTTAGTGCAAATTCATGTGCAAATTACTACAATTACTAAATGACTAGTTAATAATGATGTGCCCCATCAAGTAAAGTCATAACATAATGATACCTTTGCAAATCATTAGCTAATGATTAATTAAAGCAGACAACTGGAAGTTGAAGTGCATAGCTTTGACTATTTGTGGTAATTAACACATTAATTTACACTATTAGTTAATAAAATATGTTATTAAGGAATTAATACACAATGACACATTGAATTAATAGCAATTCATGTATTACTTAATCTATTAATCATATAGACTAGATATTAGTTGCTGATGCAGTAATCTTTAATTAATGGTTTAGTTCTTCATGAGTTATACATTAACTCATGATTATCTGTGTATTAGTTAAGCATGAATTAATGCATATTAGTGAACCTTTTTTGCGCTTGTTCTTCCAGCTGGACACCTCTGTGATCCGTGACATCGCCACTGGAGACCCTGCGGCCCGGAACAAAAGTTTGATCAAGATCTGGTGTAAAACGAAAGAAGTCACGGTGAGAGAACTGAAAATGGGTTTCGGCGCTCCCACTATTTATCGTCAGTCACCAGATTAGGCTGTTAAAACATGAGGAAATAGGATTTATCATGCTGATGGGCTTTCAAAAGAGAAACATTGGCTCTATTTTTGTATATACAAATACAGATATGCAAGAGTTTAATCTTAATTCATGAGACATTTTGTTAGGAGATAACATAGCTGTTGCTCTGTTTCAGTACTTAGCACACTGCCTTGCTGCCTTTTTCAACGTCATTCAAAAAAAGTTATCATAATGCACAGAACACATAGACTAACTCTGCATCCAAAAAAAGTAGGCAAAAAAAAAAAACCAGTAAGACCAAAGAAGTATGTCCAAATGCAAAGTATTTGAAAAACAGTAGCCGAAAAGTCCCTGGATGACCTACTACTGAAGTGTGTATCTGATGGACACTTTACTATCCCATGAGGCCACAGGAGAAGATTTATGAATCCGGCGCACCAGACGCCATAGATCACGTGACGGTAACATCCTTTGGGGGATGTAGTACATCTGGATTTCATTCATACTATATCCCAGCAAACCATTTATGGTTCCCAGAACGTTCTTAGTTTTTGGTTGTGTGAACGTTCCCTTAAGGTTCCCCTTAAGGTTAGGTTTTGGTTCCCATGGAAAGTTTTCTTAACGTTCAGGGAACGTTAGTTTTTGGTTACATTGCAACCTTTAGGGAACGTTCCCCTAACGTTCTTTTTTACATTCCCCTAACCTTTAAAAAACTTTAACAATGATACCAATTTTATTATTACTTTAAACTGTGCATGAGCAGGAATTAATTATTATATATTAGCAGGAATGAATGAATGAATAGGCAAACTTGATGGGACTTAAAACTTTAATATACAATATAAAATTAATAAAATACAAAAATTATAAAAGGCATAAAAAATACAACAAGAATTATAATCAGTTTTATAATATCAATACAAGTACTAATGGAGTGGGATGAAGTGTGCAAATTAATAGTGCAAATGTAGTGTGCAAGATGCATATTGGAATGATAAAGTATATGTGTAGGTGAATGGTCAAAGTGTCAAAAATACAATTGCAAAAATATATTTTTTTTTAAATAGAGCTCCATGGTTTTAAAGGCTCTGTCCTTCTCAGCTGGCCTAAAAAGAGCTTACTTTCTTAACGGTGCAAATTACATTTTTAAATGTAGTACCTACTCAGACAGCATGCAGAGTAATAGTGTTAGCATGTTGCTAAGCTAACAATGTGATACAGAGTGATGCAAGTATGATGTTAGAAATAAATGTTGTGATGTGATTTCCATCAAGAGGTGCATCAGTTGTTGGTCTGCATTACATCATCATTTCATAAAAGTGGTGCAAGTATGACACACCTTGTAGGCCAAAATGTGGAAACGGGTTAGCATTTTAACACTTTCAGTTCAATCGTCCCAAAGTCAATGGAGTTTTGGTTGAATGGCTGAAATAAGGTCTGTGGTGAACACAAGCTCAAGAAACTTTCACGTTTTGTTCTACGACGTAAAATACATCAGTATTACCCCACTCATGGTTTTAAGCTGTTACGTGTCTTGGAAAAGGGTTGTTGCTAACAAGTGGCTAACGCGACTACAGAGACTGTACAGAGACTTTACAGCATCGTCATGCTTATAATTGGCCTCTTATAAACTATTCTAACTCTGACGCTCTGGGAAATTGTTTTTTGATAAGAACTGAAAGAGTTGTGGGAAGCTTAGCGATGGGAACGTTGAAGTCGTGGGATCGTGGTGTAGCCTTTAGCTTTTTACTTCTGACGATTTCATTAGGCTTCAAAATTCATAAAAGTTGTGATAATTATCTTGATGGACAAAACGTGTGTCAAACATTTGTTGATCACAGAGCTTGTTTTTTGCGATAATCCAAAATCTGATTGACCTACAAAGTGGCATCATACCCGCACCACTCTATATGCATAAATATACACATCACACACATATTGTGTAAAATAAACCATTTTTAGTTTTTGAACTATTTTAGTGATGTTTTAGTATGAAGTATAGGAGTGCCAACTTCTTGGCATATATTAGTATGTATATTGGCATACATTTCCACACCGTCTCGTATGTGAGGTTTCAGTCTGAGGTTTTACTCTTCGTCCATTTCAGAACCTTGTGAATATAACAGTCCCTGGATTTGAAAACTGCACCCCTAATGCTCTCTGCTGGGTGGAGGACGACAATATCTGGACTCAAGAGAACCAAACAGAAACGATCAACTTAAAAAAATGTGAGTGTCTCTGCTCTGTTTGATGTGGATCTTGTAGCAACCATCAAAGGACCTTCCTGAATCAACAGCGAAAGCCTAAAATCAATCCATTTCCCGTTCTCTTCCTTGCATAGTTCACTTATTTTAGCTTGAAGCCATTGACTCACTCTAACAGCCATGAATACAATGGCTTCTCTTTAATGCTGAGGGAGATCTTAGCTTCACCTTTCCCCCTATCCCATCCATCTACTCTACCTTTTCAATGGGGCTATTCTTCATGACGGCCGAGGCCAGCGTACCCAAACAAAGGGCTTTGCCTCTGGGTATAAATGTGGGTGATTTAAATCAATGCTAGCAGTTGGATACCATGTTGAAATTCCAGCCTTGACTTGGTTGAGTGGACTCGGGTATTTAATCATTGAGTCCTTCAACTGTGAAAGAGTATGCTTGGCTCTTTAAGGAGCTCCTCAGTCCAGCACTTCCCCGACTGAGAATATTTAAAACATTTTCAGTAAAATATCAGGGGTTTTCAAACTGATTTCAATGTCCCCCAAATTTGTTAATGCCCTTGCAAGGAACCACCTTCTTAAAACACTAAGGCAGCTATATATGGGATATTTCTTTTTAATACATTTTTACACTATTTTTCTCTGAACCTTTGTAACAGACACCCTTGCAGCCCCTTGGCTGATTTTAAAAACGATTGAACTATCAAATAATGAAACCTATCAAATAAAGCTATAAAGAACTATCAAATAAAGATTTGAGCGTGCCGTACGCCAACGTCCATATTGATAAATCTCAAAGTCACCGTGGTTTTGGTTGTACGCAAGGTGTACGCTGGAAATTTGGTGTACGCACTTTTGATAAATGAGGGCCATTGTGTCCTCGCACTGACCACACATCAGTTTGGTAACTGTGCCACCTATTGATCAAAAGTGATTAGTAATTAAATCGTATGACAAGTGATTGTATTTGTAAATGATAACAATAAAAAAAGCCTTTCTGCCTAAATCTAAATCTAAAAAGATATTTTAGTAACTCAGAGTTGCATGACTTACCAACTAACCCAACCTAGGGTGGTTTGCTGGTTTTCTAGCCGAAAAAAAGGCCCTCAAATCCTCTAAAACTGATGCAAACCAACATGATTTGCCAACCTGTTTCATGAATGTTGCTTTATATAGAGTCGTCCTCATCTCTCTCTTCAGGTAGTCACATGTTCGTGTTCGCTGATCTACCTGACCTGGCCGTGGGGTTGATTTTGCTGGCTCTGGCATTGCTGGCTCTCTGTACCTGCCTCATTCTGATCGTCAAGCTGCTGAACTCCATGTTGAAGGGTCAGGTGGCGGTCGTCATCAAAAAGGTGCTCAACACAGGTGAGTCAACATCGGAGATTAATCTTCTGCTGCTAATTGCTAATATTAACCTGTGATACGCACTCTTGTGACTTTTCTACTGGAGGTTTTCAGAGTTCACGTGGCAAACTTTGACCCTGCGATTAAAACAAACATTTGGTAATTCTTCCTTCTCAGCACATTCCTGTAGGTGTAGTACTTACTGTAAGTGTGTGAGCATGTATCCTGTCATATGATAGTCAGCACAGGTGATTCAGTCCTGCTGCCTGATGAGCTGAACAGGAACATTATATGAGCCTGAGTGTGTCTGAGTGCCACAGGTGTGTGTATGTGCTGTTGCTATCGGAGGACACTCGGGTACATCCACCTGCTGTACTCACAGTTTAACCAAGGCAACCGTCACAGCCCAACAACTAACAATTGATGAACCTGACCAATTAATCTAGCCTTTTTACCTTTACTATTTTAGTGGATGAGTTAAGAGTACAGTGGTGTGAATACGTTTTGGCCCCCATGCTAAAGTTGCCTAAAAAGAGGAATAAAAAATAATCTTTTGGATATTGATCTTAATGCCTTAATTAGAAAAATGAGGAAAACTCCAACCTTTAAGGACACCAATTTTCTTTGTGAATGAATAATGTATCATAAATAAATGTTTTTCCTTAAAATACAGGGTGCATAAGTCATTACCTATGTTAAATTCCCATATAGTCAGGCAGATTTTTATTTTTAAAAGCCAGTTATTTCATGGATCCAGGATAATATGCATCCTGATAAAGTTCCCTTGGCCTTTGGGATTAAAATATCCCCACATCATCACACACCTTCCACCACACCTAGAGATTGGCATGGTTTTACTTCAGTTAGCCTAATAGCTGGTTTGATTTGCATTGAACGATGATCTTATGGAAAGTACCCCATGCCGATCTCTAGGTGTGGTGGAAGGTGTGTGATGATGTGCTGATATTTTAATTCCAAAGGTCAAGGGAACTTTATCAGGATGCATATTATCCTGGATCCATGAAATAACTGGCTTTTAAAAATAAAAATCTGCCTGACTCTATGGGAATTTAACATAGGGGTGCCGTGACTTATGCACCCTGTATTTTAAGGAAAAACATTTATTTATTTATGATACATTATTCATTCACAAAGAAAATTGGTGTCCTTAAAGGTTGGAGTTTTCCTCATTTTTCTAATTAAGGCATTAAGATCAAGATCCAAAAGATGATTTTTTATTCCTCTTTTTAGGCAACTTTAGCATGGGTGCCAAAACTTATTCACACCACTGTACTTGAGTTTGGAAAAGCATACTTCTCCTACAGAATAGTATGCTATTCTGCCATTGTCAATATATGGTCCTCCCTCATCAATCCTTCCCATTTGGCCCCTAAGAGGTAGCCATTAATAATGCCAATAAACAAAATCCCTTTTATGAAGGTTTGCTGTGTAAAGGCCCTTTCACACCAAGGACTTTTGCTATGAATGTGAAGTAATTGTTCTAATTCTATGCATTTTTAGTTCTTGTTCTAATTCTATGAGAATTCATTACACAGAGGAAAGACATCACTGGAATGGAATCACTTTTTTTTTTTTTAGCTCATGATTGATAAAAGCATTGACAGCCAATCAGAATCCACTTCTTTAGAATCCACTTCATTTAAAGCTGCGTTAAATAAAATAAAAGGATTAAAAATGGTCTAAGAAAACACCAATTAAAATTATTGTAATAAATAGAGTGGTAAAACATGTCTTTTATGTGACAATGTCACAAAATTACAAAGGTCGTAAATGTGATCATTAAACTGACATTTTATATAATATTTTAATGGTTAAGTGTCTAGTAGTTCACTAACTTTAACCTTTTAGTTTCAAGTTTAGTAGTTGATACGTTTTTATTGTTTTCATACTAAAGATATTGTTGATGACCTTTCTAATACGGCTTTAACTGTTGCCAGATTTCCCCTTCCCCTTCGCCTGGCTCACGGGATATCTGGCCATGCTTGTTGGAGCGGGAATGACCTTCATTGTTCAGAGCAGCTCGGTCTTCACCTCAGCCATCACTCCACTAGTCGGTCAGTAGATAAACCCTTTAACTGCCATACAAGTACATCTGCAGGTCTTCATTCTGGTGTAAGTCATATTGATCGGGCTGGTGGTCAACATGGGGCAGGTTGAGTCACAATTGCATTTGACCCAAGAAAATAAGCCTACTTAGAGGTTTTACCTAGCATTTCAGAGACTGCATATATCCTTGGTAAAGGCAATTTAATGACTGATTGAGTGATAGAAATTAACTTTAATTTGCAGTTTTTAGCCTCCTTGTTAGAGCGCCTGACTCTAATGCCGGAGACCCGGGTTCGAGGCCCGCTCGGAGCGGGTCGAGTAGGACCCGTTGGAGGGGTTACATTAGGCAAGGGCACATCAAATTGATCAAAAGTGACAGTAAAGACATAAAGTCACAAAAGATTTAGATTTTAAATAAATGCTGTTCTTTTTATCTTTCTATTCATCAAGAAATATATCATGGTTTTCACAGAAACATTAAGCCCCACGGTTTTCTAAATATTATAGGTATATTAAATGTTTTTTGAGCATCAAATAATCATATTAGAGTGATACCTGAAGGATCATGTGACACTGAAGACTGAAGTGATGATGCTGAAAATTTGGCTTTGATCACAGGAATGAATTGCATTTTAAAAACATATTCACATAGAAAACACTTATTTTACGTTGTAATAATTTCACAATATTGATGTTTTTACTGTATTTTTTGATCAAGTGTCGCCTTGATAATGTAGGATTACGAAGGTATTTAAGCGTTAATTCAGATTCCAATACAATAGTATTTTATATTGAGCATAAATGATGAGATCAGGGAATCTCTCCAAACGGTAGGGGCTCTCTGTCAACATTTGTCTCGGAGTAAGAGAAGTCGTGCTCCGTCCTGTTCTCGTGTCTCGTGCTGAGCAACATACTTTGTTTCAGAGTGTCTCCCCCTCTATGTAACCCCTCCCCCTTGACAGGTATATCAACTACAATGAACCTGGTTTTCGCTTCTGAGTTGTCAAACACTTTAGAAGAAAAAGTTCACAACAGTAATCATTAAGTGGGTTACATTTAAGATGACTTGGCCGTTTTCGATTGTTGATGATTTCTATTTATAAAAAACAGTAAAAGACCTAGAATAACCTAATGAACCAATCATTCTACCCACCACTGCTGTATTTTGTGACACTTAACATGCTAAGTGGGTAAATGTTATTTACTTAAGCCTTGGCACCTTTTTCTTCCTATTCAGGTATTGGTGTCATAAGCATCGAGAGGGCTTATCCACTCACGCTGGGCTCCAACATTGGCACAACAACCACTGCTCTTCTAGCTGCTTTAGCCAGTCCTGGAGAGACACTGGCTAACTCACTACAGGTTTGTTACTGCCCTGCCGGGAGAAGAAGGCTGCATTTACACTGCAGGTCTTGATGCCCAAATCTGATTTTCTGACTATATCCGATTTTTTTTTTTTGATTTTTTTTTGACGACCTGCTTACATCATCTTTTAAAAGTGACCCATATCCGATTTTTGCATTCACACTATACACTGCTGAAACTACCAAATGCAGACGTTCTGATGGTTTTGAACTGGGAAATTAAGCAAAACAGCATGAAATTCAATGGAAGCCCATCGGGTCTCGTATGGCGGAGAAAAAAAGAGGAGCGGCTCTGGCCATGAGCACTTAAAACGATGCCTCATATCTCGTGAAATGTCTTCAAAAACGGATTTATTTCTGTAACAACCCTGCATTTTTGCAATTTGATTGACCACTAAATTCTGCGAAGTCAAACGTCAGGTTAATCCTTTATCCGAAATGTAAATATTTATTTTACGTTTACAGGGAAGTATATAATGTTCGTTACAAATACATCGACCGTTTCACCCCAACAAAAAGTTCTAGTTTAACCCTCGGGTGCTCTTCGTTTCGGAGTCACACTTGTTATCTTCCCTCTCAAAAGTGACCGGACACCTAAAAATGAAACTTTCTCCATCCCAGTAAAACCAATGCAATTTAATTTTTTCTATAATATTTATTCTTTTTAATTTATTATTTTGAGACAATTTAATTAAATATATTTATATTTATGGTTTATTTTTGCCATGGAAAAATATATATATATTATTATTTTTTTTTAAATATTAATGCAGTGTTTTACTTTAATATAGAGTCTAGGCCTTCAGAAAAAAAAATATTTTTTGAAGAAAATTAGCACCATCTGGTGACAGTATAGAGAAAAAGCGTAGAATCATGGTGTAACCACTAGATGGCATGTACAGCTCTCTATGGAGAGGCATGTGAATTCCCCAGCTGTTTATGAACACATTTTTTTTTGTTGGTGGATTTGAATATATAGTTGAAACAATCTCAAAAACTATTTCTTATAAAAAAAAATTCACAAACTAAAATTCACCATTTTTTTTATTTTTTTTTATTTTTTACAATTTCCCATTCATTTCCTATGGGGTCATTTTTGACCAAAAACCACAAGTGTGACTATTTTTTAAGACCACCTAGCATACTCAGATCATGACCTCAATATTTTTGTGTGTTCACATACATAATGTCATAAAAGTCACCAAGTTTCGTAACATTCCGATGAAGCTGTGATTTTTAAAAATTCAAAATATACTTTTTGTAATCAAAATGTATTGGTGAGTATGTGTATAAAAGTGTGTTTGTATGTGTGTGTGTGTGTTGGTGGGTGTGTCTGTTTTGCACTCTAGAGGTTGTAGAGAGTCACCCCTTTCCTGCGGTGAACTTTTTTTTTTAGAATTGTGGCCGATTTGTAGATTGTACATACAAAAATTCAGAGAATTTTTTTGTCAATTTCCCATTCATTTCCTAGGGGTCGGTCATTTTTGACCGAAGAGCACAAGTGTGACTCATTTTTTTACGACCACTTAAATTGCTCGAATCATGACCTCAATTTTTGTGTGTGTTCACATACCCAATGCCATAAAAGTCACCAAGTTTCGTAATTTTCTGAAGGAGCTGTGATTTTTAAATATTCAAAACAGATTTCTTTAATCACAATTTATTGGTGTTTTTGTGTATAAAAGTGTGTGTGTGTGGGTATGTCTGTTTTGCACTCTTGATATTTTAGAGCATCACCCCTTCCATGCTGAGCACTTTTTTTCTGCATCGTGGCCGATTTGTAGATTGTACACACAAAAATTCTCAAAGTTTTTGTGTTTTTGTCAATTTCCCATTCATTTCCTATGGGTCGGTCATTTTTGACCGAAGAGCACAAGTGTGACTATTTTTTTACGACCACTTAGCCTGCTCAAATCATGACCTCAATTTTTTTGTGTGTTCACATACCCAATGCCATAAAAGTCACGAAGTTTCGTAACATTCCGATGAAGCTGTGATTTTTAAAAATTCAAAACGGAAAATTTTCCGGTCAGAAACGACCGAAGAGCACCTGAGGGTTGCTATATGGAATTGTATTACTCTGAACACTGATTATCATTTGTATTCTCTTCCAGATTTCTCTCTGTCACTTCTTTTTCAACATCTGTGGTATCATTCTGTGGTATCCCATCCCCATCACGCGCATCCCTATCCGATTGGCCAAAGCTCTGGGCAACCGCACGGCCAAGTACCGCTGGTTCGCGGTGGTGTATCTCGTCCTGTGCTTCCTCCTCCTCCCTCTGATAGTCCTAGGCCTCTCCATTGCGGGGTGGCAGGTGTTGGTGGGGGTCGGAGTGCCTGTTGTGGTCTTTGTGATCGCTGTGGTCATAGTGAACATCATGCAGAATCGCTGGCCGCGTTTCCTGCCCTCGTTCCTCCGAAGCTGGGACTTCCTGCCCAAACCGCTGCACTCCCTCAAACCCTGGGACAGAGTGGTGACCGTCGTCACGACTTTCTGCAGGACTCGCTGCTGCTGCTGCTGCAAGTGTTGCAAAGAAAAAGAGAAGGATGAAGAGACGGATGACATTAAAACCAAGGATAGAAGTTTGGAGATGTATGACAATCCAACGCTCACTGTAGAGGACGAGGCCAAAATAAATGCAACGCATTTATAACACTTAACAGAACCTTTTTATGTAAAGCATTGTTTATAATGTAACCTACAGTAGTCAACATTTGAAGTGGATCAAAACTAATACAGCACTGGATACAATACAAGTAAAAGCTGCTATTTTTAGCTATAATGTAAAATGTAGATGACTCTACTTAATTATACTTGAAGCTTTTCATGTCTACGGACTCTATTTATTCTGAAATGGGTTGTTTTGATGGCAGTGCTCGAATACCAAATTAGATTAATGTAAATATTTTGCTGTCATCAACAACAAAGTCTCAATCACAATACTAATTTAACACTATATGCTTTTGCAAAATGTTTAAAGAACATGTGAAACTGTTTCTCCACAATTTCCTGTTTTAACAGGAAGTACTATATCAGCACAGGAAAGAATATTGCACTTAGTGAAGTCTTTCAGACCAATGCATCAGATACACCGACTTTAAATGACACCATGGTGCAGAAGTTGCTACCTAGCTGCTGTTGATGCTACTGTTGTGGTTGTTTGTACCTGACCCACCAGAGCTTTCATGAAATTCCGAGTTTGTATAAATCTTCAGTATTTAAAACAATAGTAAAATGGAGGTGAGCATTCCCACGTTAAAAAAATGCAGAAACTTGACCATAATTTTGCACATTATGTAGAACTATGTACTTTGTTTGTTTGTTTTTAGATCTTTGTAAAATTTGAGGGTTTTTTTAATGTCTGCTTTGTACTGTTGCATTTTGTAATTTTATTAATTTTTAGACTTAAAATATTTCTTTACTCCCATGTAAGATATTGTCATTAGCATTAAAAACAACATGAGAACACTGGATCTGATTTTTATAGCCTGACGTTTTCTTTAAGACATACTTAGACTAAACTTGTTAATTTTTAACTCCTTATCTCTTTATAGCTTTATATTATTAGTCATGCTTAAGTTTCAATTGGTTTTGTTTGAATTCTTAATTTCAATACTTATCAGAATGTGTGGGCATCTGGGCGAGTTCTGTTATCATGTGTAGGGTAATGAGACACAGCCAGACACTTTATGTACTGTGCAATTACTTATTGTAAACAGATATTCTATATACTGACTATATTCAGACTATATATACTGACTATACAGATATACTGACTATAAGTAACTTCGCAACTACAAGTCAACTTGTTTTCCTAACCTGAACCCTAACACCTAAGTTAACCATAACCTAACAGTCTACTAATACTCTAATGACAGTTAGTTGACATGTAGTTGAAAAGTTACTTATAGTTAGTAGAATGTCTAAAGTGACTATCAAAATAAAGTATAACCAAGTATGTTTTACTGAGCCTTTGAAGTCACCTGTAGGAGAAATCTATGGCCATGGTTTTGCAATTCATCCCTTCAGTTTATAAACCGTAAAATCTCACAGATTCTTAAATTGTTCTCTCGTTTTAACAGATTGTGCCCATGGATTATTCAACTGCACCCAAAAGTTCCCACTCTGTGCTCTCAGATTTGTAAATCATACCTTTAGTTTGTACCCACAAATTCATAAACCCTTGTTGAAACATACAGTACGCAATTAAATGTGCAATGTGTAAAAAAGTTGAGTATCTATTAACAGAAATGCAATATGACATCCATAACTATGTGTTCAGTCAGTGGTTTTGCTTAATAAACCGTAGTGTTTTTATTACCTTAAAATGAGACATTTATATCTATATAACCATGGAATTCCCTTCTACGAAGGTCGACATATTGTGACGTCATGTTTCTACCGTAGCCGAACGCGAACACACAGCGCAACAGAACGCGATTCATCACTACCTTGAAAGAGAAGCCGCAGAAAGCTGGAAGCCATAGACACCGTGAGTAGCGACTTTTCCCTTGTGAGTGGTGTAAAATATGTAGTTGGATTGTTTCATGTAACGTTAACTTAGTTCTTCTCCCTCGCTGTGTTATGGCTTTGTTATGTGGGGATAAATGTGCTGGTTACGTTCGTGAGACAGCTGATTAGTACTCATGTCATTGACCGTTACAGGAATCACTACCCGTCGATCTTGGAAGAGATCTAAGTCGATCGCAAAGAGTTTTCAAAATCAGAGAAAAAAGCCTATTGTGTGTAGTAAATAAACCTATAAATGGTGTCTATGGGATGCGGAGGTGCGCACCATTGGGCTCATGTGGACGCGTCGAAGGCGTTACGGTTACGCTTTACCCAGCTCAGTCACAGTAACAGCTCATATTAGCCGGCTAAACTTTTACTACCCTGTTAGAAAACATATATAGCTCCATAGTTTCATGTGGTTATTCTCCCTCGCTGTATTATGGGTTTGCTACGTGGGGAGAAATGTGCTGGTTACATTTATGAGACAATCAGCTGATTACTATTATTTTTATTAAATTATATATTAAAACCCTTGATCCTCACCTGACTATGGCTTTGTAAACTTTATCCATGATGTGGTTTATAATGGACTGTGGACAATGTTACACTCTTGTCTTACTCTGGCTATTCTCTGCTGTCTCAGGCAACGAGATGTTTGTCCCGTTTTAGCCACCGTAGCTTCTTCGAAAGGGAGAGGTGAGCAGTGGGCTGAGCCCTTAGTGTTGATGTTAGCCCTTAGTGTCATGCAAATGCCCGAATTGCTCGATGGACATTCCAGCCCTGACCGGGACATCAGTACTTAGTTTTGTTATTCATGTGAAAATGTGTATGGAATGACAATAAAAGACCCTTGAACCCAATGTCATATCCACCTCATTCTGCTCTAAACAATGCACGCTGCCATTACGACAACTCCGGTTGCCAACTTCCGGTATGGATCTGGTCTATGCTTTTTTGTCATTTGTTTCAGATTGTGTAATCGCTAAACTAAATCGAAAAAAAAACATTCATCAAATGTGATCTGATCACGTTATTTTTTTTATTAAATCACAGATAAAAACAAAATGAACATCTTCATAAGTCTTCATAACTTCCAAAGGATAGCTGATGCATGACTGCACGATCTCCCTAATCCAGCAATACATTAACATACAATGGTTTCTATCACCCCTGACTGCTGCAGCAGACTGATCTCATGAAGTAGCGTGTGACACGCCAATTCGTATTTCCATTTTTGGCGTGCTATCAAGACCCTTTCAGCGTGTTTATGAACGCCATTGACTTAACGTTATATAAATATATGACTTACCTCAACCCCGTCCCTAAACCTAACCGTCACTGGGGTTAATGGCATTTATGACTGTTCCCTTACCATCCTAGGTAAAAAAAAGATATGACTTACCTCAACCCCATCCCTAAACTTAACCGTCACTGGGGTTAATGGCATTTATGACTGGAGATTTGACTGTCTGTTCAGACACGCGGAATGACGCGGACGTTAATGACGTAGACATATATGCATACACGCGGACACACGCGGATAGCACAAAATGCGTGGAGATAACACGCCACCTGACTCGAAAGTGGCGTATATGTTTACGCAAAAGTCATGATGTCATGTTGGCTGCAGAATAACCCATGTAATGAGGTTACACAACCCTTCCTCTCATTCCAGCCAGAGAATCCAATGGTTGCTGCTTGTATCTCAGCATGCCTGACAGACATTTCTTGCTGGATGAAGGACCACCGGCACCACCTTCAATTCAACCTTGCAAAGGCAGAACTGATTGCAATCTCAGCCAACCCAACAATTCATCACAACTTCTTCATTCATCAACCATAAATCCATCCAGGACAGCCAGGAATCTTGGAGTTGTAAAAATTAATGGTCCGTTAAACTTCACAGACCACATTGCTAGAACTGCCGGGCCTGCGGATTTGCCTGCTACACTTACCATCAGGCGCTTCCTATCGGAGAATGTTACACAACTCCTTGTCCAAGCTCATGTTCTATCAAGACAGGACAATTGTAATGCTCTCTTGGGAGGCTTTCCTGCATGCACTGTCAAACCTTTGCAACTGATCCAGACTCGTTGTTCTGATAGAATGAACCGACCACGATGGATCCAGCAAGTGCGACTGAATTGAGGGAGATCCTGTCGAAGAGTGATATTCGTATGCAACAACAGGAGGAACAGACGATGGCCACAGTTTGCGTTGACCAGCGCTGTTTCATGACCCAAGTTTCCGAAATAACAGCCCAGCTGCAGCAAGGACCGAGACAGCATCTGTGCACCACTGAGCCCTGCCTTCTGCCTCCAGTGTTCTACTCCAGTGAGCCCCAGTTATGTCGTTAATTTTTGGCTAAATGTTCTCTGCACATCTCTCTTCAACCTTCATCGTTTCCTACTGAGGAGTCTAAGGTGGCCTTTGTTATAACACTCAGGTCAAGCGGCCAGCTGGAGAACTATGTGGGAACAGAGACTTCCTATTTGTGTTTCGTTTGAAACCTTTTCCTGGGAGCTCAGAAAGGTCTTTGATCGCCCTGCTTCCGGTAGAGACACAGCGCGACTTCTCGCGGAGCTGCGTCAAGGAGATCATACTGTAACAGACTACTCTGTTTCGCACTTTGGCTGCGGAGTGTGGCTGGAATTCAGAAGCTCAATGGGACATGTTTTTATATGGACTTTCTGAGTCCATTAAGGATGAAATTTATTCCATGGATTTACCCGCCGGGGTGGATAAACTCATTGACCTGGCTATTCAGGTGGATACGAGACTATGGCGACGGGGTCCACGCACACAGCGAGGGTGGTCTACCAGTGCACAGAGTTTTGTATCTTTTTCTCCTGGCGAAACTATGATGTCTTTTCCAGATCCTGAGCCCATGCAAATGGGCAGGTCCTGTCTATCGCAACAGGAGAAGCAGAGAAGGAGAGAGAGGAGACTATGTCTGTATTGTGGAGCCTGTCCGGTCACATCGCTCTGCAGTGTCCAGTAAAAGCCAGCATCCGCCAGTAGGTAAGAGGTTACTGACGGGTGGAACTACACTGACTAAATCCTCCATCTTCCTGTCAGTTTGAAATTGCATTGTCTCTTCCATGGACGGCAAGATGCATCCCTTCGCATATTTTTCTCACCGTTTGTCACCTGCGATTTGCTAGCAGTGAAGCTTGGAGGACATTGGTTGGAGGGTTAAGGGGTTTCCTTTTATTGTTTGGACTGACCATAAGAATCTTGAATACATCAAGTCCACCAAAAGGTTAAACTCTAGGCAAGCTTGATGGGCTCTTTTTTTGATGGGTCGTTTTGATTTTCTATTTCTTACAGTCTAGGCTCTAAGCCGGACGCGTTATCCCGTATTTTTGATCATTCAGAGCACCCATCTTTTTCTGAACCCATTACGCCGCAAAAGCTTTTTGTTTCTGCGGTCACGTGAGAAATTGAGTCGAAGATCCGTACGGCCTCTCAAGGGGATGCCCATCGGGTCGTTTATTTGTGCAGACTGTTTAAGGTCCAATGTTATCCGATGTGGTCATTGTTCCAAGGTAGCTTGTCATCCTGGGGTTAAGTGCACCACGTTTCTCGTTAAACAATGGTTCTGGTGGCTTCATCTCTTTGTTTGGCTTGCTCAGTTTGTGCTGTTTATAAGTCTTTCAATCGACCCTCGGCCGGACTCCTTCAACCGCTTTCAGTTCCTTCGAGACCCTGGTCCCACATTTCGCCAGATTTTGTTTCGAGTCTCACTCCCTCACAGGGTAACACAGTGATTTTGACTGTGGTGGAACGGTTCTTGAAGGCAACTCATTTCATCCCTCTGCCCAAAGAGACAGCGGTTGCTGTCATTGATCATGTTTTTTCGCATACATGGCCTCCCGATGGATGTGGTCTCTGACAGGAGGCCTCAGTTTGTTTCCAAATTTTGGAGAAAATGTAGTCATTTGTTGGGGGCGACTGTTAG